AAAAAAAAAAAAAAAAAAAAAAAAAAAAAAAACTGTTCAGAAAGGGAAAAGAGTGTACCAACTGGCCTAGCTCAGGGCAGGCTCTCACTGTGGTACCAAATCCGCATAATCCGCATAATCCGCAAAATCTTGAAAAAATAGTGTCGAGGGATAGTCACACCAGGATCCCATTTCCCCAAACTACTTATTCGTGACCCCATTTGTCAGCTGCCTGAGGGGCCGGGGGGGTTGGGAATTAGCGGTAACTGCAAATTCCCTTTTTCTTGTTTGGAACCGGCCTGCGGAAATGGAAAGAAACTTGAAGACGAAGATATTGCCAGGAAATGCGATCTAGCAGTGTGACTGGAGCAAGCAGTCGAAGAGGACCCGAAATCGACGAGGCCACAACCTTGTCCGTTGCGAAGTGGGGAAGCAGAAGCAGTGTTGTGACGAACCATTTTCTGTAACTGCGCGACTTTCTGCGCGAAGCTGCCTTGGGGAAATAAGACGGGTTGGATGGGTGAGCTGTGGAAAAGATGGGTCGGTCAGGCAAATTGCATGGATGCCCTCGTTTCTTTTTGTTTCTGTTGAAATTTGTTGGGTCGGTGTCGGGAAAGTCCCGCGCCGACAATTGAATGACCGCACCTTAGCGAACGCGAGAAATAACTGTTGCCATAGCTTCTTTCTTGTTCTGTTGTGAGCACTGGGGATTTTGGCGTGATCATCGCGCGGGGAATGTCGTTTTTGAATTTTTGAACTAATGTTGAGCCCCCACGGGCTCCCGGAATTTGTTTTCTCTTCTTTCAAAATTTTTTATTTTATTTTTTTTCCGTCTGCAATTAGGATTTAGACTAGGAATTTAGGCACTTTGTACTCTGGCTGCATGGCGCTTCTTGCTCGCACGCGCCGTGCCTCGGCAAGATCTGGGCTCTGATCCCTCGCGCCTTAATCTTGTGTGTAACTGTAATTTTTGGCGGGCACAATTGCGTCTGTAATCTTCTCGTTCTTTATGTCTTCCCCCCCCACCACCTTCGTTCGTGAATGCACACTCCTCTCTCTACTCTAATTGGCCATGACAATTGCATGACTGGATCGATGCGTGGAGAGTGGTTTTTCCCCCGCACCGCTGCCTGGTCATGCAAACGTAGGCGCTTCCTTTTTCATTTTGTTCTGGCATGATCCCATGATTTTTCGTGCAAGCATGCACGCTATAAATTTCGCGAGCGCGGTCAGTTGTCTCTCTTTGGATTTGGAAGGTTAGCGTGGCCAGTGAGGATCGGCTAACGAGGAAGTTGGCAGGTGAGTAGATTGGGTCGGGCGATCTGACGAGCTGGTGCCAAGTAAGCGGGGTTGACGTGCGGGCCACGACGGACTGTGGCGCACGGGCGATCCTTACAGGCATGCTTGGGCTAAGCGGGGTGACAACTTGGTGTTGGTGCGTGACGACGGACTGCCCGCATCGGAGGTGACGTGGAGTAAGAGAGAGAGGGAGAGGGAGGACGAGTTGGGATGGTGTCTTTTTCTTTCAATCCTTCTGTGTAAATTTTGGATTTTTGCCTTGGCCAATTTTCTTGCCGCAATTTCAAATTCCTTTGCGAATCATCTCGGATTTTCTGGTTATGGCGTGCTGTGATATGGACTTGCGCTCTCTTCTCGCCCCGCTCTAAGTGATTTTTGTGAATAATAGCTTAATTCAAATTTCGTCACTTTCTAGTCGCGCAACAATCCGCGCTCGCGGTACGATTATCCGTTTTCTGACATGTTGGCAAGGTGACGTCCACAATCTTTTGCTC